AATCTATAGCGTTGTCGGAAGGGTTATATTACTTAGAATATAATAGCTGCGTATAACTCAAACCTGCGCTTCCTATTTATAATGCCCGGTTACGAGGGATTAGTAACCGATAGTATAGTACTAAGGAAGGCCTATTCTAGTAGCTTCGACGTACCTAATAGATACTTCTACCTAGCCGACGGTAGCTATTCCTTTAAAGATCTACGCCTTCTCGTACTATATTAGAAGATACAATATTACCTTCGTAAGCAGAGTAAGGCGGAAGCTAGGCCTAAGAATTATAAGGAGATATTCAACCTCCGCTATACTTAGCTTCGCAACTATATCGAGAGGGTATTCGGTATAATAAATCGGCGATTTAGGATTATTAAGGAAGGTCTAAGTATATAGTTAATCGCTTAGTAGAGTCGCTTTATTATTGCCTATACTATTATCTATAACTTTATCCTTTCTAATAGTCGATAACCGCTATCGAGCGAGCCTAGTTTAATGCCGACTAATGCTAAATTAGAAGCCGAAAGGGCGGCGGATACTATAGCGGAGGTTTATAAGGATAATAGGCGCTACGCTAAAGCGATAGACAATAAATGCTATACGGATTATTGCGATAGATTAGGGAAATAGATATATACTAATTATAAGGCATACTAGACGAAGAAAGGACTCGATATAAGGGCGTAGAAACGAGAAGTACCGGATAGAGTGCGGCGAAGGATATAGGGAGGTCTTCGAATATAGAGGTAAACCGCGGAGGCTAGTTTTAGTAAGGATTTTAGTAAGGAAGCTGTTTCTAAGTTTCTATAGTTATACTAGCGCTTCTTATACACTATCCTCGTCCTCTTATCGAAATTCTCGTAGGGCTAGAATAGTAGGTCTTGGCACGATTATATAATAGTAGAGTTCGAGCGGATAGGATATGAATTTTTTGTATATATAAGCAACTGTACGTAATCGAGATTTGCTAGTAAAAATTAATAACACCTCTATATAAATTAATAGTATAGACGTTAGCGTGCATTTGTAACGAAATTTTGTCCCTAACCGACGAATCTTCCTATTAAAGTATGTAATTTAAGCATAGATATAAACTTCTTCTACTTCTTCTACTACTTTCAATCCTTCTTATTTATAATAACCTATCGTCGATAACCTAATAGCACGTATCTACCGTCTAGCTGCATCTGCTATAGGTAGCTATTATAAGGATTATTCGCCCTCCTTAGATCTACTAATACTAATATAAAGTACTCTTTAAACTGCTGCTAGTTTATCGACAAAGCGACCTTAGTATAGTCGTATTCGCTATTCTTCTTCGCGACCTCGCGTACTAGCAATATACGACTGCCGCTTATTATTTCCTAATCCTTCTACGTATTCTTATCGAGTAAACGCTTAGTTATAATAGCGACAGTAGAGCTAGTAGTAGTAGCGGCTTTGTCGTTAGTACGCTACTATTTAGCTAACTTCCTAGTAGTGTTACGTTCTTCCTTTCTATCCTTTACGACCTCCGCCGCTATTAATAACAATAGCTCGAATGCCTTCCCTAGGGCTTTAGTAATACCGGCATTTTATATAGCCGCGTCTTCTTGCTTCCTATACATACGATCGGCCTCCTTCTATATCTTCTTTTAGTGCCGCTCCTACGCCTTCGCCGCGTTTATAACTATTAGTTGCTTAGCCGTTAGCGGCTCGCTATTAACGACCTCGCCCGTTACCTCTACCTCTGCCCCTACCTCGTCCGATTCCGAGCTACTATCGATCTCGTTATCCGCTAGCTCCTCGTACGAGGCGATATAGTTACCTATTGCTATATCTTAGCCGACTAATTTATCTATAAGATCGAAGTATTTAGGCAATTCGTTACGGAAGGCAGTATACCGTAGATTAGCGTCGAAGTAAGCGTCTTCTATATTACTCTCGGCTGTTAGAGGCATACTATTCTAGCCGCTAATATGCTTTAGATAGTATACCTAATAGCCCTATTCCTTCTTAATAGTCGACTAGCGGTTCTTTAAGGCCTAGTCGTTGCGCTAGATATTAAACCGCTTATTTATTAAGGTTGCGAGATCGCGTAGGTCCGGAAGCCTAAAGTTATTAGCATCGGTGCCTCTACTAACCTTCTTCAACTTAATTAATTGCTCGAGGAAATACTCGGTTTACGCCTATGTCTAATATACTAGCGTAGTCCGAGCCTGCTTATTATTAGTCGACTACGACTAAGAGGCTAATAGAGTCGCTATAGTAGCACGCTTCCGACGATTAACTGCTAGAGTCCGTAGTTTATTAACCGACTAAGAGACTATAGTTCGATTAACGTAGTTTAAGAGAGATTAGCTACTAACTTCTATAGCATAAACTGTAGTAAACCCGCCTACTTTTAAGTATACATCCTCTCTCCGACCTTGTACGACGATCTCGTATACCGCCTCGTATACCTACCTTCTTCGTACGCCGATTTCACTACCTACTATACTACCTACTATACTACCTACTACAAAGCGCCTGCAGTCTACTATAGAGTCTATTAATAACAAGAGGCGGAAGGAAGCGGAGGTTAATAAAGTAGATACTAGATACCTGTCCTTAACCGGCTATAATCGATTATAGCGGTCTATAATCGGAGTGGATTATACGGCCTCTATAATCTACGAGATTATACTATAATCGATAGCAAGCGGTCGGGGCCTTAACGAAGGCCGTAGTTATCTCCGCTAAACACCTACCCTAGTAGTCCCCCTACTCGGTTCTATATCTAATACTAAATTTAGTATAGCCCTATACAAACCTATATCGCCCCTCGAACTGCGAGGCTGTCCGATTAGGTCTCGGATTTAGCCGTAGTAGAGCTAAAGGTTAAGAAGCCGACACCTTTACGAGTCGTCCTTTACAGCTAAAGGCTCTATAGCTAAACCTTAGTAAGTGAAGGAATACAATACCGCTAAGTATACCTAGTAGAAAGGTATATAGACTGCTTCTATAGATATAGTTAAATATAGACTAATATATATAATAAGGGACCGGTCCGCTTCCGCTTAAGGGAAGAGTTAAGATAGCGCTATAGACTGCGGTTAAAAGGTATAGAATTAATAGTAGAAGAGGTCTATAACTTAGTACTACTAGCGAGTCTATTAAAGCTGCGCTTATCTACTAAGAGTAAGCGCTAGAGGGCACTTATTAAGCGTCTCTCGAAGCTCGAGTTAACGGTAAAGGACTTAAGGGTAGACCTAAACCTAGTAAGCTAGTAATAGGCGGAGTTAGCGCGTACTAAAGGTCTAAAGGATAAAGAAGGCTCTTATAGCGACGAGGAGGTTATTAAGGTAGCTAAGTTTAATAGCCTATAGAAGGAAGTAAGTAAGCTAAAGAACGAGGTTGTTAAGTTAAAGTCGGCGCTATAGAGCCTATTAAAGGCTTAAGTAAAGGTGTTATAGAGCCTAGCGTAGAAGCCGCTTCCGGTTAAGGTTGAAGTCTAGCAAAGAAGGCGTATAAATCCGGCTAGTAGTGCTATATAGGCTTACAAGTATTGCAGATAGCAATAGGACTACAATATCGACAAGCCTTAGTCGTCTAGTACTCTTACCTACTATTAATAGGCTAATATTTGAACCCCTAAGCGGTCCTTACGTACTTATAGAGATAGCAACGTTAGCGTAGAAGAACAGCCTTTATTTAGTAAACGGCTTTGCTACTACGCTCGAGACGACGGAGGTTCTTAGCTATAGGCAAGCTATCGCCTTTCCTAATCTAATATCGCCGAGATCGAGGTCTACTACTATTATAGGTATAACCTAAGATAAATTAACCGTAGCTTCGAGGAGGTAGCGGAGTCGGTATACGTAGAGCCCTTATAGCGGCCTCTATTACTTCTATCGCTATAAGCTCTTGCTATCCGAGTTAGACTATTTGCTATACTAGCGATATACGGAAGTCGCGCTAGTAAGTAAGTCGCTAGTCTTTAGTCTACTTCTTATCGCTACGGACGAGAACGAATAAGTTAATTACTATAGCATCTAGTAGGAAGTAGAATAGTAGATGCTAGCCCTTCCTTAACTTATACTAGGTTAAGCAATAATAGCGTAGCTAGTTATAGATGTTAATACTACCTATATAGTTATTGTATAAGGCGGCAACCTCTAGAAGGTCCTTCTCTTCTTTGCTATCTGTCTTCTAGTGTATTCGTACGTATTTGTCGATATATACGTTGTTTCCTACTCGAGGGTACCCTCGAAGCCGTCGTAATCGCTCAAATAGACGATATCCGGTTATAAGGAACTAAACAAGGTTCCTATCCTACTAGATAACCGCCGCTATACCGTAGATTGCC